TCAAATATTCTTAATACGAGCAAGTTATCGAAACGAACTCTTCAAGGAACACCCGTCGCTCTTTTGCGAAGGACGGAACTTACCAGCTGCCTTTTTGGCTGCGTACAAGTTCGCCTCCTCCTGTGCTTTACCTATGTTTTTCTTGTAGCGTATCCTCTTGTTGCCGAACCAATTGGAAACCTATAAACACAAAAGACAATTGTACTTGGTTGCTGAAAAAATTTCAGTATTTAAAAAAAAAACCTTCAACTAATCTATTATCGAAACAATTAATTTTTTTAATTGGCATTAAAAAATGTTTAATCCACAGTCATTTAAGCTTCGCCACTTAAGATTAGGCCGTGTTCACACTGTTGTTCGCAAAGAGCTCAAGAAGTGTGTTGTTGGCCAGCAGTATGAACGACCATTTAGCGAACAGCAAACAGTGTTCGCTCGATACATCAAAATGATCTGTTCGCGAGCTCCAAACACTGTCTGAACATTCTCTGGTGAATTAGATAATCACTCTTCTTTCGACTTTCAGCCTGCGAACAAGCTAGCAGGTTGTTTGTGATTTATTAGCGAGCAAATTCTCGTAAGCAGCTCGCGAACAGTTCTGCCCAATCTGGACTCGGCCTTAGATATACAGCTGTTCTCGGTTTAATTCGTTTGATAGCTAACAGTTAAATTCTCACGAAGTAGAGTAGTGCTATTATTCCAGAAACTGACTCGAACATAACTCGACAAAATGAAAGAATAGACACGTATAGGGTAATTCCGGGTGAGATGGCTCGAAACAGATTATCACATGTCAATTTTCAGTTTTTTAATAGTATATTTATACTACACTAGTATTATATTATAATAGTATTTAATAGTATATTGTATCTTGTCATTGTATCATCATACATCACATTAACCGTTCTTGTTGTTTGCTTTCATTTGAAAAATAAAGTACGTTATGTATAATTGAACAATCTCGAAAATTTTTGTGCTTATTCTTTAAACTATAATTTACTTCACATTTCACCAAAAAGTAACACCTTTTTCGGAAATGTTATAGTATGTTAATATGTATAGTATTTAAAGATTATAATTTTATACCGACAAGGAGACCGCAAGGTCTGGGATTCGGCTGAAACTTTGTACGTGTTGATAGATTTCGATATTCTGTTTACGAATATATACCATTATAGGGGCAGACACTCAAAGATTTTCAAGATATTTGCAATTAAAGTCTTTTTACACCGATAAGTATAATACAGTTGAAGTATAGGCCGAGAACAGCCTGGTACCAACGGCTCTATGGTACCGTACTCGAGTTCTCAATTCATCTTGTCCGTACAATTTTTTTTTTTTT